AAGAGGGATGTCGTAGTCCAATTACAAATTATTTGAAGGTAGGTAAATGAATATTTACCAATTCCATCACGAAAAATGAAATTTTAACGAATTAGGTTTTACATGAAACTCCTAGATCTTTTTGATATTCATTAAACATTTCAATGGCATGTATAATCTCGATTATGCCATTCAAGTTTGTGACTGAGATACGAGGATCACAAACAAGGTGTGAATAATCATGCAAATTAGCTTGGTACTCTCGATGTCATTTATTGCCTAATCAATGTGTCGGTTAACCACACACACTCCATTGATCAACGATAATTTATGAGCTACCCATTTCCATCCTTCATTAGTCCCATATAAGTGTGTTGGTTAACCACACACGCTCCACTAATGACCAATAAGGTGCAATGTGCAATTTCATGGGTTAGCATCAAATTCACATTTTTCTAAAGTAACTAAGAATGAGATTTTAGAAAATAGCTTAGTTACTTCATAACTCATTATACTTTTAATGAGGATTAAGTGTCTTATCGAACCCATTCGACTAACGACCTTCCACCATACAAAGAGAGCGGTGGGTAAGACTGGATACCTAATGGCGTTCATTTTACAGGTCGCTTACTTAAACTCCCCTTATAGTATGGCTTTGTGAATGAGGTGTACTAGCGGTTTGACTTACTCGTCTTATATATATAGTAATATTAAACCTTTAATTTTACATATAATATAAGAGTGTATTTTAAACTTTTAAAATACTAGGGTTTCATTTTAAATTTTATTAAAAAATTTGAAAATTAAAAACATTTAATTTAAATTTTAAAAATTTTAAAAAACTTTTGATTTAATAATTATTCAAAAAAAAATAAACAATTAACTAATTTATTAAATCAAATAAGGATTACCAATTTAAATTAAACATATTAACTTAATTTAATTCTTTATCCATGGATTTCGAAATTTAGGATAGGGATATCTTTAATTATCTAATTAAACAATTAACAAGATAATTACCAAAAATACCAACCTACTAACTTATTCAGATTTTAAAATCTTCTGTTTGGAGTGGAAGGCAAGGCTTTCAACCTTGCCTAAAAATCAAAAACCCTAGGGTTAGGAAACCCTAGATTTCGACTCCAAGGTGGCCCAAGGAAAGGGTTTGAAAACCCTTAGGGATTTTAGAAAAGTAGGGTTCTTAAACCGTAATTTGCGAAAATTTAAAAACCTAATTTTTTCTAGTTCAATCAATTGTAACAAATCTAATTGAAAACAAAAACCATATGCTTTGATACCGCTGATGAGTTTTATACATAACAAAGAATCTTATGTGAGCATGCAACCCTAATTTTAGGATCTTTGTTTTCACTATTAGACCTACAAGCATTGAACACAAAAACTAAAAACCCTAGGAGGCACATATAATTTTAGAAATTAACTTATAATTAGGGTTAGGATACATACATTTATTGTTATATTGTAATAATAATCAAATCCTTGAAGGTCTTGAACTTTGGTAGCAAGCGCCACAAGTATCGCGCCTCAAATGGCTCACAAACAAACCTAGCAACCAAGGAATACTTTAAAGATAGAGAAGTATAGTAGAATTTCGGCCCTTAGGTTCTCTTTGGAGTGCATAGGCTGAAATTTAACCCTAAGAGAGTTTATATAGGTGCTAGGAAGGTATTGGATTAGGCAGGTGTATCCAAGATAACCCTAATCTCTTAACTTCCTCCCTAAGGCATCCAAGGCACCCATAGAGCCCAAGGAAACCCTAGGAACACCCTAGAATTCTTTCCACCTTTTTGGGAGGTTCTAGAATGTTTAATGTTCAACTATTGAACATTGTCACCTTTAGTCCCTAAAGTTTCAATTAATTCCTTTAATCCCAAAATTAATTCCTAAGTAATTTCTGATTAAATATTAATTAAACAATTTGATTTCTAATTAACATATTATATCCACAATACATTAATAAATCATTTATCTTGATTTCAAATTAATTTATTAAGCAAGTAATAAATTAATAAATCATTCTTCTCTCTCTAACATTTATCTTATTCAATTGCTAGGTTTGAAGGCAACCCAAAAGGACATTGTTACTATCAATTCAAGTAAATACCAATTATAGTTGTGAGCTTAGACACCTAATCCACCGTCTTACACCCAATATTGATTCCTTACGATTATAAACCCCCAACAAGCCGTTTTGAGGGTCTAGAAGGTGACCGAAAGGCCGTGAAGCTGATAAGAGCAAAGATCTGAAGGATTAGAGAGCATATTAATGTCGTTAATCATGTGGTTTGTTGTTCCGACCAAGATTAATGTTCTGACATGATTTTATATGCAATTACTTTCTGATTTGGGTGTTAAAACCCTTTGCTTTGTGTTTATGATTAGATGACCCCTTGATTTTGTAGATTAATTTGGATTTTTTTTATTCGTATTTAATTAATCATGTTAAGCTTGTTAAAAGATACTTATATGTTAATGACAATTATTTTCTATTGATGACCAAGTATATTGAGTTGTATGAATATCTACTTGATTACTTGAATCTTATGGTTTTGTGAAAACAAGATTGTAAGCTTAGTGTTATGAACATAACCTAGGGTTAACTAGAAAATAAGTAAATTAATGTGTGAGCATGTATGGTGACCAACCACATATGAGTTAATTGAACCAACCAATTTGATTATCTATTATTACAAGTCTTGCTTGATTCGATTTAAACACTAGGAAACATTTTAGTTTAATCAACTGACCACTGTTTGAATTGATTTGTTTGCTAAAGGATTAGTAATAGTGAACATGAACCTGATCATTTTAGAAATTGGTGAACATGAATAAATAAATTTGTATGTGCAATTATCTATGATTTTAAGATGTAATTTTTCTAAACCAAAGTACCTAAAGAGATTTGTCTTCGGTCAGTTTATCGAGATTTATTGTTTAATCAGTCGTTTGAGATGTAATTCCATAAAATCTTTCTTTACTGCTTTTGTATGTTTTGTGTAACCTATAATCAAACAGTTTAAATTAATTCACTACCGTTTCCCTTGTGTTCAACACCCGTGCTTATCAAAGTTATACTATATTCGATCGGGTTCACTGCCTGTTAAGTGTGGTTTAGATGTGATAAACTAGGAATTGTAAATACAAAAAACTAGTGCATTAAATATTCACATCAAGTTTTTGGCGTCGTTGCGGGCAATGATTTTCAATTAATTTAGTTATTTGATTATTCATTATTTGTTTTTAATTTGTATTTAGTTTTATTTTGTTTTTATTTTATATTCGTAGATATCATGTCACTTTTCGGGAAGGTTTTTGTTCTATTTGTAGGAATTTGTGATTATACGCATTGCTTGGTTTTACTTTTTGCATGGGTTTCGAGATTGCAATCGATTAGGGAATGCTTGACTTGTTTAGTCTACTACTTTGGTGACTCGTCCAACTCAATCCACGAGGCGTAGTATAGCAAGGCGTATCGAGGTGGTTAAGTGGAAGACCGAGCTATTGCTACTCTTGACTAGTTGGGTCAACTCTTGTTCTACTTTTTAGTTAATGTTTCAAAGAAAACAAAGGAAGAAGTCTGACAGATCCCGAAAGTTTTTTTCTTTCACAAACCACTTATTGCATGCAAGGGATTTAATCAACAATTCTAGCTTGATTTCGACGAAGATGAGTGATCGTAATATCATTTTTAGTTGTTTTTGTTTGCTAGTTTTTTTAGTTATTTTAGTGATTTTTATTTTTATTTTTAGTTTTAGTTTGTTTAAAATTTTGTTTTCCATGTTGATGCTCTTGATGTTTCAGATCTTTGCTGAAATTTTTCCCTTCGGATGCTTTCAGAAATTTCAACAATTGCGGTCTAATGTTGATTTGTCATGCGAAACAAGCCGTGAAAGAGTTTGAAGTTGACAATTGAGAGTCACGACTTTCAATAAGTGTGGGGTGTGCGTCGATTTCGTGAGAGATTATTATTTTCAAAGAGTGGCGTTTCTAACTAGACATTGATTTCTATGACAAGGATGAGTTGTTCCTATGCCATGGAGTTTTATTTCGGTGAGAAGCAGAATTATTGTCTTGGCTGCCATGACATGGTTGACACTTTCCTATAGTTGTGATATACCGGAGAATGGATGGGTTGAGATTGCCGATGAATCTTGCAAAAATGACTTCCCCTAATATCACAGTATAAAATAGGATAGGGATCGTTAGTCAACGTCCGGGAGGGGATCCCAGGACAAAGCTCCGATGATCTAGTTAGTATGAGATCTGAGAGAGATGGTAAGTGATTACAGAAAAGAGAGAATTACGTCCCCTTCTTCGTGAGGAATAAGGATCCTTTTATACCTGTCTTAGAGGCGTGTCTCTCAACTGATTCTATTGAGGATTCGCTCGTGAGATGCGATGTGGCGGACCCATATTGGAGGGTCCCCCTTCCGTCTTTTGCCTCATTCTCCCATTGATTGGAAGGAGATCGTTCAAATCTTCAAGAAGACCGTGAATATCATCTGATGAGCGAGTGAGACTCTTTGATTGGTCCCACGTTTTTTAGGGTATGATTTTCGGAGAAGGGGTTAAGGCGCGGTTCTGCACCTTAACCGCCTTATCAGCGCCCCTCGTGTTGGTGAAGGACCGGACTTGGCTTTAGACTGGGTCCTGACCAGGCCAAGCCTGATGTCAATTTGACTTCTCTTTTGACATTTCCTAGAGGGATACTTTAACAAGTCCCTTAGGCTTGTAGGCGTATGCGTCGGTATGACAACATCGCCGTTCGAGCCTATATATTGACAAGTGTTTGCCTAGGATTAGTTCTATGATTTGAAGGGCCTTTAGCAGTGCCGTTAACATGTCAGATTCACCGTGAGACGATTCGTGACACCAGTTTTTTCTTTAAAATCCCCCTTTTTTCCAAGATATTTCATCCTTACCTCCTTTCTTCACCTTCGTTGTATCTATCTAGGCATTCTAAAAAAATTTCTTTCTGATCACTTATTTTTTCCTCGACAATGGACCGTTATGGTAGAGTCCCTACTGCTGAGGAGTTCCAATTTTTGCAAGATCGATTTGGTTTCTTACTAGAGCATGGTGTAATGATTCTGGCACAGGGAGTATCGATCTACGACCGTCCTCCAGGGAAAGTTGGGGTTCCTATTCCTTTGTTCAAAACGGGGTTGCAGCTGCCGACATTGGATTTTTCGATATGATCGTGCAACATTACTGTTTTACTATCAACGAGTTAACCCCGAGCGCGATCAATAAGATCATCGGTTTTGAACTGATATGTCGCTCTTTGGGTTGCGTTCCCACCTTCTGGGTTTTCAGTTACTTTTTATGCTCAACTACGAACACCGGCGTCCGTACCCTAGCTAAGCAACGAGGCATTCACCAACTAATCTCTGAGGTGGATACTTTGAAAAAGAACTAGCAAAGGCAATGGCTTTGGGTCCACCGGAACCTCTTGGGGCATGGGTATCGTAGGAAACTAGACTTTTCCAACCGTCTCCCCAAGTTGTTTGGGGGCAATCTGGCTCTCGAAAAACGGCTGGGGATTGTTACTGTCTGTGAAGAAAACTGGGAAGACTTTATTCTTTCCGCAGCCAATATGAGTGCCTCCTGGAGGGCTCATAGGAAGATGAGGTAGATGTTCTTCGTGAGATGCATTATTAACTCATCTGCTTACCCCCCCCCCCCCTTTTTTTTTTTGAAATCAGAGTGAGGATAAGATATCTTGTTGGATTGTGATATCTTACTTTTGGTGTTTGCTTTCATAGGTACGGAGGCCGAGATTTCTTTGTAGATGGCCCTGTGTGTCACTATCAGGGCAAGCTTTTCCATCGAAAGATCGATCTCGCAGAGGTTCTTCCTCCTCCTGTTTCTGAAAGATGCATGGGGGAGCTTGTTAGGCTGCTCTTGGTAGAAAAGGGAAATATGGGTTCTAGTGGACCTACGTCACTTTCTCAGCCAACCTATACGGTCGTTTCCCCAGTTCGTTTGCCATTTTGTGTTCCTTCTGGTTTGCCTGCAGGTGTACAAGAAGGAAGAAGTAATACGCCTACTCGGAAAAGGCGGAGCTTGCGTGTAGTGCCATCATCGAATGAAGAGACGGAATCTGACAATGCAGGTGTTCATCTTCGTAAATCTCGTAGGACTGTGTCTGTGGCAAGGCTTCTTGGTGGTATCGGGATATTCTCGGTGGTTAATTTTCTATACCTGAGCAGAGAGAGGTGGTGGTGGTGCCCAGTTCTCCTAGGGCCTCACCCTCTCGATCCCCTGGTTCACCCTTGGTTAATCCTGGTTCTGACTATGTATCTAAGAGTGTGCCGAGTTCTCCTGGGGGTTCTCTTCAATGTGAGAACCCTTCCTTGATCAATGAAATAGGGACTTTATCTCACTCCTCATCTTTTTAGGCCTACGCTCCGGGCTGAGCGATTACTAGGGATTCCTTGCTGTCAAAAGACACTACCGCCTAGGAATGGAGTATGTGCGCTCATCCTCCAGCCACAATGAGTTCGCTTGTGGGTTAATCAATGACATTTATTACGTCGCAGCCCAGACCTCTTCCTTTATGGTTTCTGCTGACGACCGGGTTCGTCTAGCTGGTGCGAGTCAAGGGCAATTGAAAGTACTTCAGGGTGCCTTGGCATGCATAAGGAAGGAGGTTCGTGATTCATAAGCGGAGCGTCAAGTTCTTGCTAAGCAAAACAACATTGTGGCCTGCGAGAAATCCGCTTTAAAGGATCAAGTGGTTACTTCGTAGGACCGGTCAGAGCGACTTGAGGACCAAGTGAGTTCTCTCACTCGAGAGAAGGATGTGTGGGCGAGTAGACTGGCAAGGTACCAACGTCAATTAGCTCGAGCCTGTGCGGAAGGTACCATTTCTAGAGGTAGTTTGCAATGTGTGTTGTAGAAGGGGGTGGTTTGTGTGATTGACAAGGTCATAGAGAGCGTTGAGTTTGCCAAAGGGGTCCATGATGTTCATGAGGCTTGTGAATCCCTTGGGTTTAAGAAAGGGAGGCAACTGAGTGGTTGCTCCAGATCTTCCAGTAAATCCGAAGTTTCGGGTCCTAGCCAAGTAGCGAGCATGTCCACAGAGGTCAACTCTGCGCTTACATCTTTTGTCGAGACGCATTTTGTTGGCCTCTTCCATTTAGGGGAGTTAGATTATGATGAATTTCTTCAGTTTTGTGGCAAGCTTATCCCGGGAGGTTCTTCCTCGGACTCCGAGGGCTGACTTGTATATGCCCCTTGTTCGTCTTTTTGTGTACTATGTGTATAGTGTAAAACATTGGTTGCTAATAACCATGGATTGTGTTTTTTGTTTTGTATTTGGTATGGAAGTATTCTCTTCCTTTTTTTTGTATGTATGCACATGCTTTGAGCTGTAATTCATTTTTGCACATTCCCTTGTTCTAGGGATGGTGTTAATCTGGTAACGTGTCCATCAGATGTCGCATAGCTGCTACTACTAAGCTATGTTCCTCTAACTTATATGTTTAATTAGGCATATGATATTAAGCCGTGAAATAATAGTTAATGTTGTTGACTATGATGTATGGTGTAGCTATTAATACATTGGCTGAGATCATCATCGCAAGGCCTTTAAAGTTAAATTTTTAGGGGGAAAGGTTATGAACCTTTTATGACCCCTCATTTTGTGCCATTTGCAAAATCTCAGCTGTCACACCCCGAAAACCGAAGGCATAAACACTTATGGGGCGGACTCCACGTTGAGTATCAAATCCAATGTACATAGCAACACAGTAAACACAAAATATTACATTACATAGAATTGTTTACATCTGTTTGAAAGAAAAGTTATACAAGTGTTATATACATACATCATATGAACAAAAACAAAGACGAGTCTTCTAACGCTCCGTCTTCTCCAAAAGGTGGCGGTGTACCTGTCTAATGATGACCTAAGAATACAAGCAGTTTGAAAATCAGCATAAAGCTGGTGATTTCATAAGATGTTTGTTTTTGAAAATGTCCAAGTTTCCTTTGGTTTTCTGAAAAAGTTTGTTATCCAAGAAAATCCCATATTTTCTTTATGTAAAGTTTGATTAACTGATTTATTAGACGATTTTGGTTATGTACAATTGTTATCCCAGGAAAATCCAACATTTTCCTAAAAGTAAGTTTAGTTATTGAATCCCAATGTAATGTTTGATTATCTTTCATACTTGTTATATTATCTAGGTATTTCGAATATACTAATTGTGTTACACTTGAATGTATCTAGATGCGTGCCTTCGTATTCGTATTTCTATTCTTAATCATATTCATATTCGTATTTTATATTTGTATTCGTATTTATATTTGTATTCCTATTCGTATTCGGATTCGTATTTGTATTCATATTCCTAGTCCTATTCCTAATCCTATTCATATTCGCATTCGTATTCGCATTCGTATTCCTATTCCTATTCCTATTCCTAATCCAATTCGTATTCGTATTCATATTCGCATTCGTATTCGTATTCATATTCATATTCGTATTCCTATTCCTATTCCTATTTCTAATCCTATTCGTATTCGTATTCGTATTCACATTTGCATTCATATTCCTAGTCCTATTCCTAATCCTAATCCTATTCGTATTCATATTCGTATTCGCATTCATATTCGCATTCGTATTCGTATTCCTATTCGTTCTATTCCTAGTTATACTTTCGTATTCGTTCTGTTCCTATTTGTACTTTCGTATTCGTTCTGTTCCTAATTGTCCTTTCGTATTCGTATTCGTATTAGTTCTAATTGATGATTAGTATGAATTATTCGTAGATTATGAAATACAATTTAGATTGTAGCACTTTATCAAGAAATCTATGATTAGTCTGAAAGCTAACTTCATAATTCGAACTATTTGATTAACACAGTTTTCGATATTAGAAACATACAGAATAAAAACATTTGAACTGAAAATAATAAGTTTGAGTACAATATTTCCTTGTACTTTTTCTTGTATTCCCCCTGAAAACATTTGAAAAACGGTAGGGGTATAAACTCACCGTTTGAGGAACGCATCGGTTTGGATCCAAAACGTCAGTTCTGGGTTTGCAAACGCACAAGATTCCTATGTTTTATGAAAAGATACACATTTGTATCTAATTAGGGTTTGAATAATTTATTTGTTAAGGACAAACACTTCTAATCACGAAAACACTCCATTACAAGCGTTTGGAGGGACCCGTGTGGCATTTTAGGACACGTATGGCTTGGATAATGTGTTTACTCTTCGAGAGTAAACTCATACTAGAGTTTTCGGCCCTAATGTCCCATTCCCCATGAGTTTACGGCCATAAACTTATGGTGGGGTGTTCTATGGTGCAAAATGGCTTCATATCACTTGAGGGAAAATTCTAGGGTTAGATTCAATGCATGGGAAAGTGGTTTAAGCAATTTTAGGGACCATTTGAGGAGTTTACGGTAGTAAACTATATGCTTACGTATAACACCGTGATTTTCAAGACAAAATTTTCATTTAAATAATCAATTTAATATTAATAAACTTGTTTAAAATCTTATTCACATTTGTATTACAAAACATAGTTTCAATTTCATTATAATAGAAGACCAGGATCCTCCAAAACACAACTCTTTCTTCGGTGTGTACAATCGAACCGTTGCCATCCCGCGTTACTGTAAGAACCTGAAACCACATAATATAGACAACGTAAGCACGAAGCTTAGTGAGTTCCCCAATATACACCTTACGCACGTACGCCTTCCGGCCCGGACCTTTCGGTCCACGTGACATCGCCTTCCGGCCCGGACCTTTCGGTCCACATAACATTGCCTTCCGGCCCGGACCTTTCGGTCCACATAACATTGCCTTCCGGCCCGGACCTTTCGGTCCACATAATATATATCGCCTTCCGGCCTATACAATAATTGCCTTCCGGCCCATACACGTATATAGCACATAATACAATTACTCTAACACATAAAGCACATATATCATATATCAACCTATCTTCTGGCCCGAAACATACTTTAACACATAAAGCACATATACCACATATCATACCTGGCCTTTCCGTCACATAATAATTTGCCTTCCGGCCCATATGTAAACTTGTATATCACGCGTAGCGACTAACTTTCCATTTACAGCAAATAACATAACACATAACATACTTGACCTTCCGGTCACACAATCAAACCCTTCCGGGTACAGTATAGTGAGAAAACTCACCTCGCGGACGCTGGAAGATAGCAACTCCTGAAACCCCTTGCACTTGATCCCCCGAGCTACAAGCTCCCTGTAACATCATATATCTCTTCATTAATACTTCTATCTTCCATGTTAACCGACCCTAAGAATTCACACCGGTCAACTCTGGTCAACGGCCATCTCGACTGGACTCGGCGAGTACCCTGGCGACTCGGCGAGTCTAGTCATCCTCACAAATTCCTGAATGTTCCCTTTCTACTCGTCGAGTATCCCTCTTGACTCGACGAGGTCCTCGTGGAAGAATCGCGGGGCCACCCCGACTCTACTCGCCGAGTCTGAAGAACAAACTCGGCGAGTCCCAGCGAATCTTCAAGCTACTCGCCGAGTCTGCTCATCCGACTCGGCGAGTCCACGCCATGCAGTCGATCGAACTGCTTCCTGAGATACATATATTCCCGAATATACACACATGGGACCTTCTGGACCTCTAAGAGTCCTAATACAAGGTTATAAACATTGGATAACGACACAACAGTCCATCTAATCTCCAAATGGGTTTCACAAACCCTAAATCCGTGCACATATTCACATAACAGAAAATAATCCGAAAGGTTACCTGAATCATGCACTCTCAGTGTCCCCAAGCCTCAAAACGTGATTCCCTTGCTGTCCCATTAGCCAAAACCTTCTCCTTCTTGGACAATAACTTCCTCAAATCACCAATGATCTTCAATCCTCGTTCTGGATGCCCACAACCGATTTAGGATCCTTCTCAGTCGGCCAAAAGACGTGAAATGACGACATAACAACCCTTATATACGACCCAATACGAAACGGCTAGGGTTTCCGCTGAACAGCGTCGACTCGCCGAGTCCATACCTGGACTCGTCGAGTCCAGTCGCGAACCCGCAACCAAATCTGCGACCCTACTCGGCGAGTCTGGCTCCAACTCGCCGAGTCTCCCCTTTAAAACACCCCAAAATGCAATTTAACAATACTTGAGATTTTGGGCTGTTACAATTCTCCCCCACTAGAATTAGGCTTCGCCCTCGAAGTCTCACTCCGAAAATAGTTCTGGATGCTGCTCCCGCATCACACGCTTCAGCTTCCCTAAACACTTCCGACCTCTTCCGAGGTCGCCACTGAATCAATACCAGAGGTACCTCCTTGTTCCTCAGAAACTTGATCTTCCGATCCCTGATGGCCACTGGCCTCTCGGCGTAACACAAGTTCGCATCCACCTAATCGCTCTCTAGTAGAACCACTGCTGACTCATCTGCTATACACCTCTTCAATTGCGACACCTAAAAGTGTCATGGATCCATCCTACTTCCGTTGGTAGTTCCAACCGGTAGGCCACTTTTCCTACCTTTGCACTTTCACGCAAAGACCCAACATACCAAGCCCCTACTTACCCCTCTTCCTGGATCGAAACACCCCTTCCCAGGGAGAGACCGTCAGGAATACGAAGTCGCCGACCTAAAACACATGCTCGTAACGGCGTCTGTCTGCACAACCTTCCTGTCAACTCTAAACGATCTTCAACCTCTGATTAACCTGTTGCATCTGCTCTGTCGACCAAAACACGATCGCTGCACTGTCCACCACTTCCTGCAACCGAGAATTTCCCAAGACACGACTCTGCTCCAATTCTCAACGATCATCCGACCCATAAGGGTTACGAAACTCTGAATCACCAGTCCCTCGATCCTAAGCCCACTTTATCCATATCGGAACAACCGAGGGACCTATTCTCAATTCTCAGGGCAACTCTCACGAGTTCACCTCTTGCAATCGTATACACATGCTGCACTCGCCCCAACATACCTTTCCCTTCCCTCACTTAGTGAAATCCGTTTAACAACCTTGCCACTATTCCCTGTATCACACATGCACTGGATCTACTCGCAAGGCTCTCGGGTCCATGCATTACCTTTCCTCGGCGAACGAGGTTCCGACATCACCTTCCATGCAACAGCTCAAAGGGCGGCATACTAATGCACTAATGATGGCTGTTAATATGGAACAACTCAACCAATGATAATTACGTACCG